CGGCGCATGAGATCCAAGGACACACCATGGTTAATGACCTGGAAGAAGCCATACTGCAGCAGGCCTGGCTAATCACTTCCATGGCCATCTTCTTTCCTTCCTCATCAGATTCTTGGAAGAAAAGAGAGAGATCAACCGTGGGAATGGTCTCTGCAGCCATATCTGATTTCTACAATTCTTGTAACTTGTATGACTGTCAAAGTTTTTATGGGGTAAAAGTGGAAGCAGGCTCTCTGGATATGGCCACACAGCATTTTTTTCTTTTTTTTTACATCAAATAGTTAGTTACTTTATTTTTTTAAACGTATTTACATACAAAGGAGGGAGTTTCCAACCTCAGCCTTTAGTTTGGGTACATCTTACAATTGAGTTATAATTGTTGGGCTGTGAGACCCAAATGCATCAAATAATTAGTTGCTTAAACATTTAAAAGTTAAATTTTTAATTTTAATTTAAATTAAAGTATTTAAATTAATAAATATTAATTTAATCGAAGTCTTTTTGGTGCTACATAATAAATTATTAAGACAACACAAATAGTACTACTTTCTATTTTGTTAATTTACACTTTTGTCCATCCATAGTGATGAGGATGAGTGCGGTGTTGAGAAGATTAGTAGAACCCAAATCTACTTCTTAAATAGGAGAGTCGGAATAAATTTGTCTTTTCAAAAAAGGCAAAAATATGACATAAGGACCCGAACTTACACCAAATTCACAATTTCAGACCCAAACTTCGATTGCACTCAAGAAGGTCTTGAACTCCACGAAATTCTCAAATAAGGTCTCAATTGTACGGAAAATTACCTTTGCTCAAATCTCCTATTATTCCGTTAATGTTCCGTCACATTTCACACCCGCCACTTGAAAAAAATTGGTTAAATGCTAATTTTGGTCCCTCAACTCCATTGAGTTTTACTTTTTTGTCCCTCAACTTTATTAAATTTCACTTTTTTGTCCCTCAACTTCATTGAGTTTCACTTTTTTGTCCCTCAACTTTATTAAATTTCACTTTTTTGTCCCTCAACTTCATTAAATTTCACTTTTTTATCCCTCAACTTTATTAAATTATACTTTTTTGGTTCATGAACTATTTTTTGTACCTTTTTGGTCTTTAAATTATTTTTTATACTTTTTTAATCCCTTAACTTTAATAACTGCATAATGTTGATACTTTCATCAGTTTAAGCCATTAACTCCGTCCACTTGGTATTTTTTATATTTTTTTGATGACATATATAATATAATTGAAAAAAAAATAATAACATAGATAATCTAATTAGAAATAATGATGACATGGATAAATAAAATAATA